GACTTATATTTAAACATTTCATCAAATACCTAGCATGCAAATCTTAATCTTCAAAGATCACTCTCAAATACATGAATCATCATCTTAATAAGAGTTTATCTTTAAATAATCATCAATAATATTAAGCTAAAATAATCAATTTCACCCAGAAACCAATATTTGAACCAAAACCTCAAGAAACTCATTTTTAAGAGTTTACAACCAACATGCATGATAAACCCCATCAAAAATCCGAATCTCAAGTAGGATTTCAACATCTTAATCTCTGAAATCTTAGTTCCTAACTTAAGAAAGAAGTTACCTCAAAGAAAAATGTGTTCCCAAGTGAATAGAAGCTCAAAACTTGGTGATTATTTTTGGTTCTAGGTTTAAAACGAGTTGAGATGGGCTGGTGAGTCTTTAGCTCATTCTCTCTTAAAAACCTAGGTTTGATTCTGAGTTTTGGGTGAGAAAAGGAGTGAGAAGAGAGAAGAAAGTGCTATGGTCGGAGTTCTAGGGTTTCTTGCTGAAATAGACTCAAAAATGAAGTCTAAACTTGATAAAAACTAAACAAAAATAAAGTGGCCTTATAATAGAACAAGGGCCTAGGTTTTTCTAAGCCTAAGCCTCTAATAGCTATCCTAACCTCATAAAATAAGCTATAAAGTCTCTATTTTTCTTCTTCAATTAGGTGCCTAAAGTTCACTCAATTTGCTAACATAGACTTCTCTCACCAAAACTCAAAATAACTAAGTCCTCAACATATTTACATAAAACCATATAATAAAAATATAAAATAATGATTCATCATTAAATAAATTATAATAAATATCATTTTTCTTCATAAGTTTAGCACATTGAGTTCCCACATCGAGCTAGTTGCACTGCACATTAAAACTGAAAACTCGATTAGCGAAGCTATAAGTTTAATAAAATCATATGATAGCTATAATAATAAAATATAATGCCAACAAATAACTTTGAGGTAAATGGTAAATGTGGTGCATGATTTTAATTTACGAAATTTATTTATTATTGGCTTAAGGCTTAATTAAATATCGGGTATTACACATGTCGTTGCACAAAATTTCACTATTTGAGATGACATGTCTTCGCTACAATTTCACAAGTTATTAGCGATGACATGTTGTCACTAATATCCGTTGGCACCAAAGCCAATCTGGCGCTAGTTTGTCCATTATTTGTGACGACATGTCGTCACAAATATTGATTGTTACAGCTGGCGGTGACGTGGCCAAAAAGAGGCGGGAAATTTGGTGGTTTCCCGCGAATAGGTTTAAGATATTTCTTTATTTTTTGGGATGACATATTGAAAAGTCGTCGTAAAAAATGGTTCCAGAAAATTCTTTTCAGAACGATTATTTTTGCGACGATACGTGTCGTCACAAAAAAGGGTTTCAGAAAATTCTATCAAGGACGACTGTTTTTGCGATGATTTTTTTAATAGTGTTGTCGCAAATAACTGGGGATTTAATTTTCCCTAAAAAAAGGGCGAAAGCTTTGGCGGTTTCCTTAAAATTATTTACGATGACATTGTTAAATTGTCGTCACAAATATTTTTTAGGGAAAATTAATGAGGTGAAGAAGAACAACGTCATTTTAACATTAATTGTGAAGACTATTTAATATTTTTTGCGACGACATTATGTCGTCATAAAAAATCACATGTATAAACGCGATCACAGACCCCCTTCCGTCATTTTTTTCGGTGAGCCTCTCACATTTTCTCTCATTCTCTCCGTCCAAAACCTCCAAAAACTATCCAAAACACTGAAAATAGCTTAAACATATCGTTCTCTCCTCAAATCTTTCATTTGTGGGGAAAAAAAGTCCTAAAACCCTGAGTTTTCATCTCCCCCTCGCCGCCCACTTTTTCGGCTGTACTCGCCATTTTCCGGCTGCCGGCGCTCTCCCTTCCCTGCTGTCTTTCCATTTTCCAACCCCTGATATTTGTGGGTTTGGATTTTGTGAGTTAATATTTCATTATTTTGTAAATTGATTTTGGTATTTGTTGTGGTTTGTGGTTTTCTATTGGATTTTTAATTTAGTTTGTGGTTTTAGATTTAGAATTGTGAATTGTAAATTAGAATTAGAATTGAAACATGTGGTAATTAAATTGAAATTTGTATGGAATTTATTTGATGATTAAAAAAATTAGAGTAAAATTTTAATTAGTTTTACATTACTAATAAAATAATTAAATAAACTAATGTTAATTTTCATAAAATTTGATAAAACTTTATAAATTCTTTGTAGTGGAGATGGCTATGGACAAAAGTTAGATACATTTAAGGAACTAGTTGTCTGATGAGTACTGTGATGGTTTTGTACTTTTATTAAGGTTGGAAAGAGTTATGCAAATTCAACCGGGGGTATTAGTTGTCTGTGTATCAAGTGTAGAAATCATGAGATGTTGCCACCAGAAGTAATGAAAGTGCACATACATCGATGCAATTTTGATATAAGTTACACCACATGGATTCACCATGGTGAAGTACGTGCTGCTGCTGCAGTTATTAGTGAACCTGTTGACGAGATGTTTGCAATGCTAAATGATTAGGCTGAGATTAGTGATGATCATGAGACAATGGGTGAGACAAAAACAGTTATAAAAGATACTCATTACAATGAATTTAGAGATCTCTTATCCGAGCTCCAAGTCAGGTTGTATTCGGGTTGCACTAAGTATTCATCGTTGAATTTTTTAGTAAAACTAATGCGTCTAAAAGTGTTGTACAAGTGGCCTAATGAGTGCATGGGTGAAATGTTGAAGCTACTGAGAGATGTACTCCCTGAAGGGAACAAGTTACCTACATCGCATTACGAGGTGACGAAGTTATTAAGTAAACTGCGTCTGAGTTACGAGGCAATTCATGTGTGTAAGTATGAATGCGCTTTGTTTTGGAAGCAGAATACTGCTTTGTAGTCTTGTCCAGTATGTAGTACAAGTCGTTGGAAGAACAAAAAGGAAAAAAAGTTTCGTGGAAAGTACTATGATATTTCCCTTTGAAGGATTGGTTAAAGCGTCTATATGCTTCCCGTCACACTGCTAAGAAAATGACGTGACGCGTACGGGAGCGTTCGAGGGATGAAGACTTAATGCGTCATCCAGTTGATGGTACAGAGTGAAAAGAGTTTCATAAAAAATATCCACAATTTGAATGTGAACTGAGAAATGTTCAATTAGGGTTAGCTACTGATGGTTTCAACCCATTCGGGAATATGAGTCTATCAT